ATGACACTGGCACTTAAAGGGAAGGACTGAAAGGCTCATCTCGCCATGTGGTCTCAGAGCCTCGCCATGTGGTCTCTTCATCAAGAAAGTTGAATGTCTTACAGGACAGCTGATGATGTCTCCAAAGAGACAAGTTGCAAACACTGTCATTCTTTTAAATCTGTCCTGGAGAATGGCATAGCATCACTTCCATCCCAGTCTATTAGTTAAAGCAATCATAGAGCTCACCTAAACTCAAGGGAGGTAACATATACGCCACCTGTGTTGGGTGGGATGTCAAGGAATATGTAGTCTTCTTCCATCACCACAAAATATTTCCTTTGCCCCCTTTCTCTGATTCTTTTTTTCTCCCTAGGGCTGTTGTCAGAATAACACAGATTTATTGCCGTTTCTGAAATCTTTCTGATGTTCACCAAAAGAGTTTCTGAGAAAACATTCATTTTGGTCTGAATCTCCCTGCTTTTTTACCAACTACTTTGTAATAATTTAAGCTCTGAAGACAGAGTAAAAAATAAATCAAACAAACCCTCATGGAGTTCACATTCTTATCAATCCACAGTCAGAACATGGTGTTGAATATATGCAGCTAAAGCTCAACTGAAGCTCATCATCCTTTTTCATTTCATTCTATGGAGCCTTTCCTAAACTGTAGAGGAAGTGCTCACATTTCTTTTCTTTTTTCTTTTTTTTTTTTGAAATGAAATTTCTATCTGGGTGTGGTGGCATGTGTCTATGTGGTCCCAGCTACTTGGGAAGCTGAAGCAGGAGGATTGCTTGAGCCCAGGAGTTAGGGACCAGCCTGGCAACATAGTGTGACCCCATCTCAAAAAAGGAATATGTAGTCTTCTTCCATCACCACAAAATATTTTCTTTGCTTTATGCAAAGCCCTGGGTTCAAACATTTTTTTTCCTCAGGCTCCAGATACAAACTAGATATTGTCAATTAGATGCTCTTGGGTAAGATTTTCAAGGTAGAGTTGAGGAAGAGGCATTTTCCTCTCTGTTGCCTATTTCTGTTGGCCTTTATGATCATCAGTAGAGACATGGGGTTTTCTATAGCAGGATGTCAGTTTCTAGTCCTCCTCCACGAGTTGATTTTTTTTTTTTTTTTTTGGTACCTGGGATTGAGCCCAGGGGCACTTAACTACTGAACCACATCTCCAGCCCTTTGTTTTTTATTTTGAGACAGGTCTTGCTAAGTTGCTTAAGGCATCACTAAGTTACTGGTGCTGGCTTCAAACCTTCTGCTTCAGCCTCCCAAGCTGCTGGAAGCATATGATTTTCTTGATTGTCCTCCCAGACAGTACACAACAGCTCCACAGCTTTCCAGGACTGAGTGGACATGCTGAGCTCCCTGGCCATAAGAAAACCAAGAACAAAATGCGTTTTATAGCAGAGGACAAGACTTAATAGCCATAAACTACTTAGACACTTAGGAAGCAGCAATCCTAGTGCACTAGCTGCAGCAGCAGTCCCTTCAAAGTCAGGATGGCTGGGTCCATTCCTTGTTCCCTAGCAATGTTTGGCTATGAAATGGGATTAAGAACATTTTTCCTGATTTATGGTGCACTGTAAGCTGTATAGTACTATACAAATAAAAGCTATCATTCTTAATTACATCAGTAGCTCTCAAAGTATGATCTGGATTTCCCCTGGAGTTTTCAAAATACCATCAGGGAGTAAATTAAAACAAAACTGCTTTATGAATCACGCTTGATGGTACACACCTGTAATCCCAGCTACTTGGGAGACTGAGGCAGGAGGATCACAAGTTCAAGGTCAGCCTGAGCAATTTAGAAAGCCCCTGTCTCAAAATTTTAAAAGGGCTGGGGTTGTAACTCAGTGGCAGAACAATTGCCTACCATGTGCAAAGCCCTAGGTTCATTCCCAGTACCAAAATAAAATAAAAAAAAAAATAAACCTACTTTACTGCTTTAAAAATAATACTAACCCAGGGGTTGGGGATGTAGCTCAGTGGTAGAGCACTTGCCTGGCATATGTGAAGTCTTGGGTTTTATTCCCAGCACTGCAAAAGGAAAAAAAAAAAAAAAAAACTAGCCCATTATTTGCCTTTTTCACTCATTCTTTCAAAAACATGGAGGTGCTTTCCAAACTATATGATGAAGTCCTTACTGATGAAAGTGATATAACTTGTAAATTTTTTGTTTTTAAATAAATTCTGACATTGTGGAAAGACAGAAATCTGTCCAATCCATATTAATGGCATAGCTCGTTTACAACATGTAACCCATATAAACAAAAGCTCTTTGGGGTACTCAGTAATTTTTAAGAGTTTTAAGAGATGCTGACGTCAAAACATTTGAGCACTCCCGCCCAAGGTCACTGTGTTTACTCATTCTTGTACTATCTGCAGTGGCCCCCACTTTGACCATTTCTGGATGCTTCATTCCACACGCAGTCATACCGCTGCTGTGTCCAACCCTCTTTTACTAGGATGCCTTTCTATTTTGATTAACACACTTGCGACAGAATCTTCTTGCACAGATGTCCGATAACAGCTGTCTTGGCACAGCCTCAAACATAACTGTGGTCTGTTCTCATGAACAATGTTAGACCTGCAGACCAGTCCCTCGCCTTGCGGCTGCTAAATTATTCTTTCTGGCTGGACTCATCTTGTTACCTGGTTACTAACCCTGCCTTTACCCTACTGAGTGCTAGTCTGACACATAGCCTCCTGTTCCTACTTTTGATTTCCTTTCTGTTCAGATGACCCCTTGCTGTGGAGGTCATTTGTCAGCTGCCCACAACTAAGCTGAGCCATCCCCACCCTTATCCCTGTCCAACTCCATAGTGTGAGCTGGGTCAAACTGAGGTCACTTGGAGGCTTCTACCCACCAGAAAATGGATTAATATTTGCTTTTAAATATGGCTACACCTTCCCCCAAGATTGCCATTGTCTGTGCCTTTATGTGCTGTAATCACTTAAAACAAACACTGTTAGCAATGGGTATTTCTTGTAGATAGAATTAAGACAATTAATTATTATATGTAACTGCCAAGGTTGGTATTTTTTTTGGGGGGGGGGTACTGGAGACTGAACTCAGGGGCACTCGACCACTGAGCCACATCCCCAGTACCCCACTTTTTAATATTTATTTTATTTATTTTATTTTTTATGTGGTGCTGAGGATCGAACCCAGTGCCTCACATGTGCTAGGCAAGTGCTGTGCCACTGAGCCACAACCCCAGCCCCACCCAGACCTTTTTGAATTTTGTCTAGAAACAGGGTCTCACTGAGTTGCTTAGTGCCTCGCTTTTGCTGAGGCTGTCTTTGAACTTGCAATCCTTCTGCCTCAGCCTCCTGAGCTGCTGGGATTATAGGCATGCACAACTGCCTCCCCACTCCTGGAAAGGGGTTTTTTTTTTCCCCCACTTCCTCCTCCTCCCTCTCTTCCCACCTTCTTCTTCTTTTCCTAAAGAAAGTATGTACAGTGATTGAGAACGAGACTCTGGAGACAGAGTGCATGTTTGAATCCCAGCTCTCCCCCTGATAGTTGTGTCCCATTTGATAGTTGTGTTTGATATTGTAAAAAGACACAAACATGTTCAGTCTGTGGACAGGTCAAGTAATCTCTTAGATCAAATAATCTCTCTGTGCCTCAGTTTTCTCCTGGGTAAAGTAGAAATTTTTTAAAGTAGCACTATTGAAAGAAAAAGAGAGGGAGGTTCTATGAGGATTAATATATGTAAAGACCTTAGAAATGTACCAGATAGGGCTGGGAATAGAGTATAGGGGGGAGCACTTGCCTAGCATATGTAAGGCCCTGTGTTCAATCCCCAGCACCACCTCCACACACACAAATTATGCCAGATACATATAATATATAAGTGATTAAAAATCAGAAAAGGGCCAAGCACAGTGGCTCACGTCTGTAATCCCCAGCAGCTCGGGAGGCTGAGGCAGGAGTCTGAGGCAGGAGGATCATGGGTTCAAAGCCAGCCTCTGCAAAAGCAAGGCGCTAAGGTTTCACTGAGTTGCTTAGCACCTCGTAGACATATTTTATGTCTCTAAATAAAATACAAAATAGGTCTGGGGATGTGGCTCAGTGGTTGAGCACCCCTGAATTCCATCCCCAGTTACCCTCCACAATCAGAAAAGAATGAAAACTATGAAATTTCCATTATTTATTTATTTTCTCTTTTTGGCACAGGGGATTGAACTCAGATCTTGGGTGCTTTATCACCTAGCTACATCCCCTAACCTTCCTTTAAATTTTTTACTTTGAGACAGTGTCACGCTAAGTTGCCCAGGCTAAAACTTGCCAAGGCTGGCCTGAATCTTGTGCTTCAGCCTCCCAAGTAGCTTGGATTATAGGTGTGTTCCAGGGTGTCTGGTGCTTTCATGAGTTTAGGGATATGGGGGAAAGTTATAATAAACCTTAAAGTCCTGATTTTCAATAGGAAACTTGAGGTGAAACACTATTAACCTAAGGGCATTAAAGAATGCCAACCGCTGGATTATCTGTCTCCTTTGTTTAGAAAGATTAAGAAAGAAGGTTAGTGAATCTTTATATGAGAAGAATCATAAAATTTAAGCTAAATCTAAATGAGTTCTGAATCATGTCATTGTAAGAATAGTCTGCTTAATTAAAGAGAAAAAGAACTTTTCTGTAATATAAATTACTTTTTAAAATGATATTATATAAATTACTTTTTTTAAAAGGTAGTATTTATTTGAAAGCTAATAATTTTTATTATAAGAAATTAAATTTTTTTTAAAAAAATTACATTTTTAAATTAATGTTTGTGACAGAAAATAGTGGTTATTCATTTAGAATGGTAAACTGCTAGGTGTAGAGGAGCATGCCTGTAATCCCAGGGACTCGCGAGGCTGAGGCAGGAGGATCTCAAATTTAAGGCCAGCTTCAACAATTTAGCAATACATTGTCTCAAGATAAAAATTAAAAGCGCTGGGGATGAAACTCAGTGGTAAAGTATTTCTGGGTTCAACTCCCAGTACCCAAAACAAACAACAGAAAGAAAGTAGTAAACTCTGTTTATTACAGTATTTACTCCAACTTGGTGACAAATTAAACTCTTGTGCTCTTGTGACCTTACCTTACTGATCTAAATATAATTAAGTTGGCCAGTATAAAAGTCTGGAAAGATTCTCTTAAACTTGGGAATAGATCTAAATACATTCCTTCAAGTGAAGAAAAGTGATAAGAAAATAAGTATAACAGTAACAAATTAAGGCTGGGCTGTAGCTTAATGGTAGCGAGCAGGCTTAGCATGCATAAGGTCTTGGGCTCAATTCCTTACCACAAAAGAAAAAAAAAAAAAAGCAGTACAGAAAATGAGATTTTATACATGCTACAACATGAATGAACTCTGAAAATATTATGCACAGCACAGACAAAATTTCTAGCATGAGAAATCTACTGCTTTTATATGACAGTTTAATATTTTCCAGGAAAGAGACAAATTACAACTGTGAAATGAGTTGTGAACCATAAAACCAATAAAAAGCATTCAGAGTGCGCAAACGCGAGGCGAGACAGGAATTATATTTACTCCCTTGAATACACTCCCACTTTCCTCCCAAAGTAGGAAATGGGAGAGAAAATAGAAAAAGATTCTCTGGTTCCCCTGAGTAGTAATCTCTCAAAAATATGCTGCTATTTATGGAGCACCCATCCTTCCCTGCCCCATGTTAACCCTTCACGTGCATCCCTTCACCGAACCTCCCAACGACACAATTAATTATTATCTAATAATATACTATACTAATATTTGAATATACTCAGATTATCTCCACTTTCCAGAAAACTGAGGCTCAAGGTTGTGAAATCACTAAGCCAAAGTCCCAGAAGTCACAGCGTGAGACTCCAGCCCTGGGGTAGCAGCACCAAGCAGCTCCAGCTCCCTGAGGCTTAAGCCCCGCCCCCTGAGGTTCCTGAACCAATCCGAGAGAGGCCAATGGATATTGACCAAGTCTGCTTGTCTCCACCCACTCTGGACCCAAGAGCTCCCATAGCGCTCAACTGCTGGCTCCTGAGGCACCTGATCTTGCCTGAAGGACTGGTTCTGGGTGAGCTGTAGCCACCCTGTGTCCCATCCTCCCAAGATATGTCACCTGCAAAGTACTGCTTCTCCAGGTTAGCATCATCTCCAGGTGCTAGGCTTCTCCCACTCTCGTTCACCTTGACTTAGTAAAGCCTGATGGTTAAATGAAGCAAGGAGTCTTAGGGTTGAACAGAGCTTCGTTCCAGTCTCTCCTTCACCATTTCCTCTGTAAGATTCTTCATGTACAAGGTACTCAATCTAAAAATAGGGATGGTAAATGCTTTAGATTTGGATGTGATTTACCCCTCAAAAGTTCATGTGCTGGAAAACTGGAAAAAAAAAAAAGGTTCATAGGCTCAATACTGCATTGAGGTGTTGGAGCCTTTAAAGAGGTGGCTAGTGAGAGGAAATTAGGTCATCGGGGCTCCACCCTCCTAAATGGATTAATACTGATCTCTTGCAGAGTGGGTTAGGTCTCAAGATAGTTAGGGAGTTAGAAAGCAAAGCCATCCCATAGGCTTAGCCTCTTCTGCACACAGCCATTTCCTTTTCTGTTCCTTTGTCGTCTGTCACAGCCAAGGTGGCCATGCCAGGATGCAGGCTCCCTGCAATTTGGATCTTCCATCCACCCCCAAAATCATAAGCCAAATAAACATCTTCATTTATAAAGTACCCAGTCTCAGATGTTTTGTTGCAGCAACACAAAATGGACTAATACAATAGTCCTGCCTTTTTAGTAGGATGGTTGTGAGAATAAAATGTACTCATCTTTGGAAAACACCTGGTAGAGTGCCTGGCACCTTGTAAGCACTCAATAGACAGATTTGTCATTCTTAGGACTTTCATTGTTATCCCTGTGCTATAGCTATCCAGACTCTCAGTCTCAATTTTCTGGTTTGAGGCCTACACTTCATGTCTTCTCTTATCAGTATTTCTTCTCTTCCCTTCATATACACACACACAAAAACACACACCGCACCTAAATCTCTCCATATATAGATATGTGTCTCTGAATATATGTGTATATCTATCTATAGATAGGTGTAGATATAGATATATATCTGAATTCAACCCTGGAGGACTCCCACTCACTGATGGGTACTTCTTCAACTATACAGACTTCCCAGAACCAAAAATTTGACCAGCCTGACTTTTCAATTATTAAACTTATTTCAGGTGGACATTTGATGCAAAGCCCACCAATTTTTATCTGAACGTAGGTGGTAGACCCTTGAGAGAACCGATAAAGGATTGGGGGGACACAGGGTGGGGCTAGAGCCTGCGCTCTTGAGTCAGCTGAGCCTGATCTGGAACTTGCAGGCTGCGAGGCAAGGATATACTACTACACATCTCTGAACCTCCATGTCCTCAGCTGTGAAGTGGAGAGTCTCACCATTAACTCGCAGGGGTGTGATGAGGATTCTGTGGGACAATGCTGGAAATCCCACGTGCCCGGCACAGAATAGGCATGGATGATGTTAGTGTCCTTCCTCCAGCAGCCCATCATTGTCTTGAAATACTGCCAACAGCATCCGAAAATAAAATGCCTCACTTCTAAGGAAATAGCAAGGCTCCATTTTCCCTGTTGTCCCCTTGACTTTCCACCCGGTAGTCACTCCCTCCTTTCTCTAAAGCTTAGTCATTCTGACACAGAAAGGCTATTCCCAGGGACACAACCCACACACACGCCCAAAGCAGCCCTGCTCAAATGCCACTTGGTCAGAAGCCAGACTTGCTCTTTAGAAAAACACATCAGAGATCTGGGGACTCAGCTCAGTGGCAGAGAGTTTGCACCCACAGGCCCTGGGTTCAATCCCCAGTACTGCAAAACAAAAGAAAACCATGTTCACCCTGGGCACCACCACCTCAGGGAAAAATTCTCCAAGACTTTAAAAATTGCAGTAAAAATGATTCATGAGTTAGAGAATAGGACTTCTAAGGAAAAATACAGAATCTAGATTGTTTGGGTTTAGGAAGTAAAGGCTGGAGGGGACAGGGCTGGAGAGGCGCTGCTGAGAAACCATATTCAAGGACGTAGAGCCAGCTTAGCCTGGTGGCCCACACCTGTAGTCCCAGCTGTTTGAGGGGCTGAGTCAGGAAGATCACTTGAGCCGAGAGTCTGAGGCCAACCTGGACAACCTAGTGAGAGCGAGACCTGGTCTAAAAAAAAAAAAAGAGGCAGAATCAAAGATTCCTAGTAAGTACATGCTGTATGCTGTAGATTGGGAGGGAAAATGGCAGAGCATCAGAAGGGTCTTGGGAAATCCACTGAAGCAGGAACAGAAGATGGGGGACGCTTTTTATTTTTAAATCTATTTACTTATTTGTATGTAGTGCTGAGGATCGAACTCAGTACTTCACGCATGCGAGGCAAGCGCTCTACCACTGAGCTACAACCCCAGCCCAGGGAGACCCTTCTTAAGACAAAGAATGAAAAATTATAAACACAAAATTGCTAGGGTCTTTCAGGCTTAAAAGGGTTTGGGGAAGGTAAGGGATCCTGAAGTTGAAGCTCTGCTGACTTCCCAGTAAATTTACCTCTAACCAGGAATGTGACAAGTGGCCTGGTCAGAGGGCTGGGGGCGTAGGTCAGTGGGACAGGACCTGTCTAATATTCATAGTTTCCATCCCCAGAACTGCCCCACCACACACACACACACACACACACACACACACACACACACACACTATGTGCTGGTAACATGGATTTGGGAAATGGTTTCAGTTTGCCTGTTCTATAACCCTGACTAGAAACTCCTTCTCTCCCATCTTCCCCTAAATCATGCCTAGTTAGTCTGCAAAATGCACACAAGCCTGCCCTCCTTCCAGGAATCCTACCATTTGTGACCTTCCCCACCACAGTGACTTTGTGCCCCACCTTCGTGTGTGCACCTGTTACACACTCTGCTTGTCTGTGCCATTCCACTTGTGTTAGTTATTTTTTTTAAGAATTTTTTAATATTTATTTATTTTTTTTAGTTTTCGGCAGACACAACATCTTTGTTTGTATGTGGTGCTGAGGATCGAACCCGGGGCATACGCATGCCAGGCGAGCGCCCTACCGCTTGAGCCACATCCCCAGCCCCTTGTGTTAGTTATTTATTGATGTGTACAAATTCCTCCAAAATGCAGTAGTTTTAAACAATACAGGTTCATTGATTCACGGTTTCTATGGATCAGGTATCCAGGAGTGACTTTGCTGTGACCTTTGTCAACCTAAGGCCTGACTGGAAAAGATCTGCTTCCTAGCTCACATGGTGATGGTTACAGGATTCAGTTCCTCTCAGGCTGCTGTATTAAGGTCTCAGTTCCTCAAGTGCTGTGGGCCAGAGGCCTCCCTGGGTTCCTAGCCATATGTAGGCCTCTCCATTAGGCGGGCGTGGTAGCTTTCTTCATCAAAGTGAAGATAAAGGGGGAAGGGATGTTAGGTAGACAACTAGCTATTGCCCCCTTTACATAGGCATGGTCACCTCACTCCTTTTAGTCCCATACCTAGATGGCTCATCACCTGCCAGGCCCCTGAAGACATTTGACCTTTCAGTAGTGGCTCAGGGTTGGAAAGTAGGAAAGATCATTTCTCACCCTCTATTATCCATTGTTTTCCTATTTCTTCTAGCCAATTAAAAAAAAAAAAAAAAAAACTGTTCCCAAGATGTAGCAGGGTATATGGCTGCCAAGCTCAAAATCACATTTCCCAGCCTCTCTTGCAGCTAGTTGGATGTGACCACCTAACTAAGTCCTCATCTTCAGAAAATGAATAAAATTGATATAAACATCATGTCTACATCTTAAATAGAAATTATTCACCATCTATTTCCTCTTTTCATTTTTCTGACAAGATGGAGTGTGGATGTATCGATGGAAGCATGTTTCCAAGGAAACAGCAAAGCAACATGATAAGGAACCTGTCTGCATCTCTAAGTGACTACCTGTAGCAGATCCACTTACCTCCACTGACCCGGAACCACTCCAATGCCTAAAGAGATAAAGCAACTAGAAAAACTAGAAAAACAAACAAAAATAAAAACAAAAACAAAACTTCCGGGCAAGCTCTGGGAATTCCACCTGCAAAAACTTCTTGTTTCTCTAGGGTACTTCTCAGGGTGCAAAAGAATCGCCCGGAAGCGTTGTTAAACCACAAAGTGTTGAGGACTAGCCCTGGAGTTTCTGATTCAGTAGATGTGGGTGGAACCTGGGGTTTGGGATGTCTAACAAGTTCGCAGATGCTGTTGCTGCTGGTCTGGGGATCACAGTAAGAGAAGCTCTGGTCTAGGGGAAACACGTGAAATGACTCAGCGCCTCCTGCCTTCCATCCTGGGGTGTCTCCACTTCTGGTTCCAAAGTCTTAAGAAAATCTATTTGACCCAGGACTGAGACATTCCTGTGGTTCTGTGATTGGCAGCCCAGTGAGTATCACCTGGGGTGGGGTGGAGGAGGTTTCCCAAAAGAAGGAAATACTGGACATATAAAACTAGATGTCCTCAAAGTGGTAGCTGGACAGACTTTCACCATCTGGAGCAAGGTTTGCTGCAGCAATGTCTCCTCTCAGAGCAGAAAGCACCAGAAGACAGAAGGGGTTGTGGGGGAGAGATTGCGCTCCTACAGATGATTTATCTCTACTCAAACTCATTGTGTTTTTCTGCCCAAGAGAGGGGATTCCTGCCCCTTAGAGGCCTGTCATCCATTTCCCATTCTGCTTTTGGTGACTATGGGCAGTGAGAGGAGGCAGGAGACTGTGTAAGTCCATCTTGACCAGTTAGGCTGCCACCCAGGACAACAGGTCATCATGAGTATTATAGATTTTCTCAACCTTGCAGATAATGACACCAACAGATAGTTCCTAAAAATCCGGATCATCTTATTTTCACATCATATTTTCTATGCTATAGGAGAGGAGATACTTCCTTCTACGCTCTTAGGTCCCTGTGGATAGCCTCAGAACTAAACTGACATAAGAGAATAACAGTAGAAAAGGGTACAAATGTATTTAATATTTTTACATGTCTTAACACAGGAGTCTTCAGAAGGTGGATGAAGACCAGAAGAAGTCGTTAGGCACAAAAGCTTTTATTCATTTTTACACAAAGAATGATAACATTATAGCAATATAACAAAAGAAAGGGGATTGGGCTAGGGGCAGTAAATTGTGGGACAATGACCAGAAAATATCTGGAGGAAAGTAATGGAAGATAAGAGTTATTTTTGGTTTGTCTGTGCAGTTCTATTTTGGTGTCAGTCTGCAGTGTCTAGCAATGACTGCTCTTCTCTTCTCAGACAGGGAAGGAACCTTTCTCAGAGAATCTTTCATGAGATGCATTCAGGTGGAAAGGAGGAAGTCAGAGAGCTTTTCCTGAATCTGTTTCTCAAGGGCCTTTAGTTCATCATAATAAACATGTGAAAATGACACATTCTGTGGTAGCATGTCCTAAACCCCTTTACTCACAATTTCCCTTCTGAAAAATTCTGTACCCTGGTGGCACACACCTGTAATCACAATGACTTGGGAGGCTGAGGCAGGAGGATTGCAAGTTTGAGGCCAGCCTCAGCAACTTAGTGAGAACTCTGTCTCAAAATTAGAAGAAGAAGAAGAAGAGGAGGAGGAGGAGGAGGAAGAGGAAGAAAGAAAAAGGGCTGGGGATGTGGCTTAGTGGTAAAGTGTATCTAGAATCAATCCTTGGTACAGGGGTGGGGGGTTGGGGAGAAAGAGAAAGAGAAAAAAAAAAAGAAAAATTCAAAACAAAACTTTGTTACCCTAAGAGAACAAGCCCATAGTTATTTTAGTCGGGATTGTCATCCATCAGATTTTCTTAAGATGGGACCACTTGAGCTTATAAACCTACATGATGGTTTAACACTTAAACATGAGTGTGTTAAAACCATCACATTAATATTTACAGAGCAATCAATGTAATACACCATACTCTAAGAATAAATGGCAAAAACAACATGATTTCTCAATAGACATATTAACAACATTTGGAAGAAAGTAACAGCACCCCTTCATGACAAAAAACACTCAACAAACCAGGAATAGAAATTTTCAGTGTCTCAAACTGATAAAGGACATCTACCAAAACTTACTGGCTTAACATTATTCTTACTGGTGAAAGACTGAATGCTTCCCCCTGAGATGGGTTGTTAAGATTAATGGTTGTGGGTGCGGTTGTGGCTCAGTGGTAGAGCACTCACCTAACATGTGCAAGGCCCTGGGTTCAGTTCTCAGCACCACATAAAAATAAAATAAAGATATTGTGTCCAACTACAACTAAAATAAAAAATTAAAAAAGATTAATGGTTGCTATCCTCTGGAAAAAGGGGAAACAGGAACTATAGGGTGATGGGTCTGGGTTTCTTTTGGGGATGACGAAAATGTTCTGAAATTCGATGGTGGCGATGGTTGCAACACCTTCTAAATGCATATACCAAAACCCACTGAAGTGTATGCTTTAAAAGGGTGAATTTTATGGTATGTGAATATATCTCAGGGCCCTACAGCTGGAAGGAAAAGAAAATCCCATAATTCCTGGAAGCTTATTTGGGACAGAAAGAGAATCAATCATTTGTTATTCTATTGTCTTTCACTTAA